TGCTTAGGACAGGGTCATGTATTATTTTCAGCTGTGTCTTTGTTTCCCAACAACATGCTCAAGAAATTGTACTGCATAGTACTTATAGTCAGCCTTTAGATCTTTAAACAAAGTGCTGTACGTGCAAGAGTCAGGCTGGATTCCACTATCCAGCATTTCTTTGTACAGAAGCAGCGCCTCTGACCAACTACCCAAGACAAGATTAGTATTTATCAGAATCGTGTAAGTATATTTATTAGGTACTATTCCGTTTGCTTTCATTTCCGTAAAGTATGTGTAGGCCTCACCAAGCCTTCTGTGTTTGCAGAGACCATTAACCAGTGTGTTGTAAGTTATGACATTTGGCGAGACCCCCTTCTCCTTCATCTCAAAGAAATACATAAATGCTGGTCCTAGCCGTCCTCTAGAAGCATATGCATGAATCAATACCGTGTAAGTTACAACAGATGGAGACAAGCCATGGCTCAGCATCTCACGATATAATTCTCGGGCTTTCTTAAGATGCCCATATTGCTGGTAAGCATGAATAATGCTAGTATAGGTGACATGATCAGGCATAAACCCCTTACTTATAATTCTTCTCAACAGTTCACATGCTTCAGCCAAGTTCCCCAACTTACAAATTCCATCAACATAAACATTATACGCTATTATATCGTGCGGGAATCCATTCCTACTCATCTCCTCCAGCAATGTGCATGCATTGGATGTGTCACCAAACTTTACTTCAGCAGCTATTCTAGTTGAGTAGGCAAAATGATCAGGCTGCAAACCTTTCTCTATCATTTCGTCAAAAAATTCCTTAGCCATTGATAAGTTTCCTGCCTTGAAAGATCCCCTAACTAGAATTGTATAAGTAATCACATCAGGATTAATGGCATAAGCAGCCATTGCATCCTTTAGTTGCCTGGCATCCTCTAGATTTCCAAGTCTGCAAAGTCCATCGATAATTGTGTTATATGTGACAACAGTTGGACGAATATTCCTGCACTTTAACTCATACAACAGTAGGATGGCGCTCTTCAAATTTCCAAGCCGGCAGTGGCCATAGATTAAAATATTGTATGATCTAATATCTAGCAATAAATTCTTCTTCAACATTAAAGGATACCATTGCATGGCATCGCCAACTCTCCCCTGTTTGCAAAGGGCATACATGAATGTATTAAATGTTGATACAGTTGGAGAAGCTCCTTTTGTTTCCATCTCTCCAAAAAGACTCAATGCCTCGACGAGCATTCCATTCTCGCAATATCCAGAAATTAAGGGATTATATGTGCAAGCTGAAACTTTTAAGCCCTTGTTTAACATCTTTCCTATCAACCCTTTTGCCTGATCAAATTTTCCTTCCTTTGACAGATCATTAACCAATACATTATGTGTAACATCATTGGCATAACACCCTCTCCTCTCCATTTCGGACAGAAGTTCCAGCGCTTGCTGCACTTTCCCTCCTTTACAAAATGAATCCAACATGGTGTTATATGTAACAATTGTTGGTTCAATGCCAAACTGTCCCATCATTTTATATACATCCCGTGCTTTTTCAGTGAAACCCCTATTTTTAAGCACCTTAAGAATCCTATTGCAATTCTTAACATCTGGCAACCATCCATTTCCCACCATCTTATCAAAAACCAACAAGCAAAAGTCAACATCCTTCTTTTTTGTGCATATACGAAAAATCAAATCGAGAACTTTAATCGAAACCTTAGCATTTGCGAAACCAGCAATCAGAACATCCACAACACCATGCAAATTCACTTCAACTACCCTTTCCACCACCAAATAAGCAGAACTCATAAAACCATGTCGCACTAAAACGTCAAGTAGGGTACATAACAGGAACTCCGAATACTTAAACCCGGGTTTCACCTCAGCCCACCTGAATAATCTAAGGGCCATCTTAGGCCGTCCCTGGATTGAATTAAGAACCCTAATCAACAGCTCAGTATCAGCGTGATAATGATCTGGAAACAGCCACAAACTATTCCCAGCAACAAATGGCTTCTCCAAAATTGCCCTCAAAATGAAGTTCTGAAAGTAACTATCTGAATGCCTACTAATGGAGTATATAACAGGAGATACATCTTTGAAATTAATGTTCCTCAAATCAGCAGTATTGCCAATAAAAACATGACGGCAATGTGTTTGATGGAAAGAATCAAAAAATATTAACCGGAACTTGAGCGTAAAGGATTTAGGACAGACGATTGATTTAGAAGCTCTAGCATAAAGGGTCATGGTATATTGTATAAAGAACAAAACTTGATGAAGAAAAACTGGGAATAGAATCACATGCATCTGTGTACCGGAGGGGATAAAGCAAATGGCGCTTGCTTTACGGGTTCAAATGGGTCTCTTCTCCTTTTGAGAAAAAAGATGCTCCGATCTCCGGGCAGCTGCATATCAGTCGGTGAAGGCCGGGGGGCAGTGACGCAGGTAAATTTGAAGGCAGCTACGGGCGGCGGTGAATGGTGCTGCGTGTTTTAGTGCTGACTACAGAACCTTTTCTCACACCCCATGAGGCCATTTTTTGGGTGGGTCGGGTGTCCTACATTTGTCCTTCGGATCTTCATTTATCAATTAAAAAATAAATAAATTTTAATGACTTATTTTCTACCAAAAAAAAAAAAATCATATTGCACTTTTCTTTTAAGTAACCAAAATAAAAAAGAAGAGGAAAATTTTCTAAGAGTAACTAGGTTCTCTCCTGTGCGTTGCATGTATTAAAATATATTAATAAAATAATTATTAGTTATGAAGAAAATACTACGTACTCAATTAATGGTTGATTATGAAATAAAATCAAAACAAAAACGGTGAATAATAAAAAATGAAATTAAAAAAGACGGTGTGAAAATTAAGTGCTATAAATATTATTATAATTTAAATTTTTTTGAACTTAAATATAAGAAGAATGTTACTTGAATTTTTTTTCGTAATTTTACCTATTAGATTTTAACAATTTTTTTTAATAAGATGGATATTACAATAATTGAATTCGAATATAAGAAGAATACCTTACTTGGGTGTTTTTTGTCATTTCACTCACGAAATTTCAACTTTATTTTTTTTAAAAGAAAATATTGTCATTAGAGTGATTTATTTTGAATGTAAAAAGTATATTTCATTGGATTTTTTCGTAATTTTACCCGTGAAGTTTAAATATTTTTTTTTACCATAAACAGCGTCAGCTTTTTTTTGTGAAAATAAAAGATTTGAATTAAAGCACACATAATTGAAATTTCTCTATCTGAAAATAAAAGAAGCTGATTTTTATATACATTATAAGTGGAACCTTCTTTTATGTATATGTTGAATGTCTTTTTTAAGCAATACGACATAGTTTTCACTTAAGATGTTTTTGGAGGGAAAATTTTTAATCACAACGCGCATTTCAGTATTTTTCTTCTATTGGACTTCTCTCTTAATAAGATATATTGATTCATTAACCTCGTGGAGTAGTATCTTTTGGGATGACAACATGTTCCTCTGGATTTTGTACAATTATAAATTTGATTGATAAAAGGAATTAGTTTGTAATATTAGAGTCATTGAGTTTGATTATAAAGAGAATATTTTGCTTGATTTTTTTCCGTAATGTTAGCTCGTATAATTTCAATTTCTTTTTTATATTAGAAATAGAGTCGTTTCTTTTTCAAACAAAAATCACATGAAAATGCCGCACATTATTAAAAGTGTATCTTTATGTCGTGTGCGAGTAATGTCACAGGATTTGTATTTGGTAATGATATAATAAATAAAAAATTGAGGATTTTTAGGCCAAAAAATGAATTTTAAATTTATGAATATTACAATTCATAAATGAGATTAAGGGGTCAAATTTCGTACATTCAAAAAATGAATTTTCTTTTTAAGAGAAAATGATATTAATTTCGTGAAAGTAGGAAGAATTAAAACTAGATTGCTCATTAGTTTAAGAGGGGCTTTTCTTTCTTTCTTTTCCTAAAAATGGTCTTATGTTTTTGGCGGGAAAATAACTCACAAGAGTGTGACACCTCAGAAAAATTCTCTCTTAGACAGTTATTTTAATAGGATATATTGAATATTGATGAGCAATAAAAAAACATGACCATACTAGATTATTTATGTCTATTTTTATTGAGGTTGAATTCTCTTATTATCAAAATAAATAAATAAATGAATAGTAACCTTTTTGAGTGACGTTAATAGAAATGTCAAACATTTAAATTTGTTAAAATAATACTATATTTGAAATAGGTTACTTCTACTGTTACACCCCGATTTTGAGACATCTCTTCATAACTGTGGGTAGCGAATTGAGTAAAAATTTTATTTAAGCTTGTTAGTATGTAATGACGAATTAATTTTAACAATAGGGGTATGAAATATCACTACCAGTGTAAGCTAAATAAGAGAATTTATCTGTAATGGTGAGATCAGAAGTAGAGCAAGAGAAACCGAAGGATTAACTAGTTATACCACCAGAAACTATGAGGCTATTTGTAGAAATAAAAAATTGTTATCCAAGCCCCTCGTCAATGCTCTAAATTCCATCTCAAATCCTCCACGTTTCTCATCTCCCAAAATCGGCAGCCCCCTATATATCAGTCTCTGTTCTACTATTTCACTATTGGTTCCCACTATATATCACTCTCCTTTTCAAATACTTTGCCTCTAAATTGGCATCCATTTGCATCATCGACAAAGGTGTATTAAGGTCCGTTGATTTGCAGCCGTAATAGGTTAGAGTTCTGAACATTTATTTGTCAATCTTTATGTTGAACTGTGTTATATAATTGATGAGTTTGGAGAGTGGGTATTTTAGACTTTTTGAGTTGCATCTAGTGTAGGCCTGTATGGGATGTGAGAGAGGTTGTTTACACACAGTCTGCTCTTTTGGCGCCATTTCTAAGTAGCCCTTAATTCCTCCTCCCTCCCAGTCACAGTCCACTTTGTCAAGGGAAGCACCAAAATTCGATAAAAGTTTCGGTTTTTGGGAAGTAAAATCGATAATGGGTCTCAAAAATCCGGCTGAAATGGCTGTCACCCTCCTCAGATCAAGGCTTTGCAATCCCAATTTCGTCTTCTCCCTCTTCTCCGATTCTCCCGATAGTAATTACAGGTACAAATTCTTCTCAAGAAAATCCCAAATCGCTCCTTTTTTTTTTTTGTATAAATCAAATCATTTGTGTTTGTCATCTCCATTTTGTTTCATGATTTCGTAGCTCTATTGATTTATTTTTTTGGGTCTGTTAACTGGAACAGCAAGTTGAAATATATCATCTCGAGTTCAGTGACTGAGGCGTGTAATAATTCTGTTTTGCTTCTGGGTCCACGAGGCTGCGGAAAGATTCCGGTAGTAATAGTTACTTCCCCAGTGAAATCTTTGAAGGTTGATTCTTTCCTTTTTGTTCAATTTTTGTTTTCGGCTTTGATTTTCTGCTTTGTTTTGTTATTAGGTTTTGGAGCTTGTCCTTGCAGACTTATTGAAAGAGTTCCCTGATATGATCTCTGTGGTATTGTGATTTATTTTGAAATTTTCTTTTATGTACTTTCTGCTGCATGTTATTAATTCAATAACTATGCAAGAGCATTCAGATGCGCAATTGCAATTTTTATTTGTTTGCCCTCATTGTTGATACTTCCAGGTTAAGCTCAATGGGTTATTGCACAGTGATGATAATTGTGCTTTGAAGGTTTGCCTCTATGTTCCAACTTTTTGAATTGAAGAATGTGTCACAGTTCATTTCGAAATTCTGTCCGAACTATCTTTGTCTAGTTCCATAATTAAGAAGGGATAAATGTGAATCAAATTTACTGGTTACCCGAATAATTGTGTTAGCCAAAGAGTCTTAATTGATATTTTCTCCTTCCTATGCTCGAACTGAATGGAATAAGCTGTTTTGTGATGCCAAAGATAAAAGTAATAGTGCAAGGAAACTTACTTGTTCATGGAGATCTATCCTACTAGCTGATTACGACTTCTTGTTGCAGTCCGTTGGTTCCTAAGTATCATTGATATAAGCAAAGAGTATTTACTGTTTCGGATTTAATTGTCTGCTTTCCCGAACTGCACAGGAAATTGCTAGGCAATTGTGCATGGAACATCAATTGGTTTTCTCAAAGATGGTAAACATCCCCGGATAATCCTTTTTTGTCAATATTTTAGGAAATGTACCATATTCGTTTAAATATAGTATGTTTTGTAGGCATCATCTGATGATAACTCCCAGTTCATGATAGCTATGCTACGGTAATCCCAGAATTACTGAACTAGCTTTGTTAAGTGCTTTTCTCTACTATGTCATGTAACAAAGATCAGCGACCTTCCCTCAATCTTACTGGGAACTTTTCTGCTTTGTTCTTTTATTCTCCAGGGAGTGTGGGTTAGCACATAAAACAGTATTATTTGTTCTCGATGAGTTTGACCTCTTTGCACAGGTGAGGTTGTATTGAAGAAAGATGCTCAAAACATTCGTTTCCGTCTGAAATTGATCTTCACAAGTGTAAAACTCATTTCTTTTTTCTTGTTTACAGGGTAAACAACGATTACTATATAGTTTACTGGACGCCATGCAGTCAGTGACATCACAAGCTGTTGTTGTAGGCGTGAGTTGCAGATTGGTATGCTCTTTTACCATTTGGCATTTCTTGTTAAGATTTGCATTAGTTGATCTCGCAATGTCATTACTATATTAAGTGGTTTAAAGGTATGGATCTTAGTTTCTTTTCAGGGACCATCAAAATGTAGGGCTTATGACATCTATATTGGACTTAAGTTTATTCTGTGCTTAGACTATGCAACACAAATGACATCCAGTTTCCTGAACTTAGAAAATGAGACATTTGTGTCAAGTGTTTGCAAGCTGGAAAGAGAAAGTATAACACTTAGGTATTCGGGCTGAACTCGTTGTTTTTGCTATCCTCTAGGCTGTGTACTGTACTGCAGCTGTTGTTGATATCATATGAAAAGGAATGTGTAGAAACTTGTTGCATTACTTTGGTTTTTATTCCAACTTAATTTGGAGTTTTGCTGGGGCTAAAATTGATGAACTAATTAACGAGTTTGGTTATTCAGGATGCAGACCAGCTGTTGGAGAAAAGAGTACGATCTCGTTTCTCACATAGGAAGCTGTTGTTTCTTCCTCCTGTGAGGCAAGATTTGCAGAGGTGATTTCAATCAAATTTTGATATTGACCTCCAATTCTTTCCCCAGAAGCTGTTGTCTCAAAGTTAAGTTTGTTATGCAGGCTCGTGGAGCACTGTTTGCTGTTGCCAACTGAGTCAGATCTTCCTTGTGAATATGTTGCTGAATTTAACTCGAAGCTTTCTGTATCCTTAGATGTTTTAAAGTTCTTCTAGGCATACAAAACTATGACAAATTGACAAGGTTTACAGTTACACCGTTTTTTATGGTTTACAGTTTAACCTTGACTATTTTCCTAGAACATCTTAGCTGATAAAAGGTTCACAGAAATCTTAGATTTAGTATTTAATACGGACTCAACTTTCAACCATCTGCTGAGATTCCTGTAAGTTGATTCTCCAAAATCTTTTATGCAGTTTGTCATGTCGAAGACAGATTGTTTACACATAGCTCTACATTTAACCTTGTGTTGTAGGTTTTCTGCTCTTAGTCATATGGATTTCAAACCAGGCTACCTCTCACTTGAAAACTTCAAAGCTGCAGTTTCGAGGATTCAAAGACACCCAAAGCTGGAATGTATAAAAGGTGCAAACATCTACAAACTTTCTCCATGATGACCGTGCAATATTGTCCATTATCCAATTAGTCACATTATTTTAAGAGTTGTCTCTTTGTTATATTTCTCAAGGTTTTTGGTTAAGTGCTAATTTCTTTTTTGACACCTTAGTTTGATCTAATCACTCCGTTCTTGTAAATTTGCTGCATAGTTTTGCACACAGATCCTTCTATGAAAGATTCACATTTTCCAAAGTTTTGTTTGCCAGGCCGGATAGCATTTCACATTTTCCATCCTTTTTGGCCTTGTTCATTTCCAGCAAAGTTTAGCACATATGAACTTGTGATAGTTTATTGAATATTGAAAAGAAAAGTAAGTTCGCTTTTCATACAAAAACCAAATGACAAAGACTGACTGTATCTTAATACCAAACAGGGCAAGAGAGTATAACATTTTCTTTTTCTTTTTTATGTAAAAAACTTTGGGAGGCTACACTAATTCTCTTGGATCTGAATATAGAATTGAAAAGCACTTCAAATCTTTGGTCCTTTAACATTTAACCTGAACTTTCGATCATGTAGGGCTCAATTTTTTCAAGACATTCATAAATTCAACTTGTTAATGCAGATTGTTCTATATTGGAGCTATATATTCTTGTTTGCATGAAGAGGATGGAAGTGAGAGAGCAAGAAGTCTGCAATTTCAACTCTATAATGAAAGGTCTCTAGCAAAGTGTAACTTGTTTTAGTAGTATGTTATATTGCAGTCACTTACAGCTCCTCACTATTTACTGTTGCAGAGTACAAAAGTATTCATGATTCATTCCAAACATCCGATTACTACGCGAGGGGTGTATGCAGACGAGTATGTGAGATATTTCGAGTGAACTGTTTGTACTCTACTTAGTCCTTTTTGTCAAGCATCTTCACTAAATGCTGCAAATGCAATCTGTTGCAGGCATTTGAGCACCTTCTTCAACGTGAACTGATCACCTTCTTGGACAATAGAGGCCAGGGCCTAAGTATAGAATATCGGCAAGTTAAGCTGCTTATTTCTTGGCATGAACTCCATCAAGGACTGAAGTCCCACCATTCTTGCCCGGTAAGTTACTTAAACAGGATTAATTACTGCCCAGGTTCCTCTCTAATGTGTTTGACAAACTTACAAGTTCTGCCTATCTCTGTTTCTACGTAACAATGCTTCAAGACGTGTGAAAACACTCCGCGCATTGTTGACTATCAAATTATTTCTATCTTTAAATTCTGTCTTATTGGCATTTCAGAGTTTCTTCTCTTTAGACCTGGCAATCCACTTACTAAATTACAAGATGCTTTTGCAGGCAATACTTCATAAACTGATGGATCGTGAAGGTTGAAAATGCATTCTGACATTCTGACATTTGATTGTTTAAAATGTCTCATCGCTCTGAACTACAGAGCTTTGTTGTAACGTAATGGGATTTAACGTCCCACAAAAATGTAGGAGAAAGTCACAAAACTATTGTAAGTGTTGAGAGGAGTTATCACTTATCATCAGATAATTCTTTTTTCTGAGTATTGGGTGACCACGTTAGTTAGCTCCGAATTCAGTCAATGTTATTATCTCTATCCCAAAAACAAGGTTAGTATTGAGATTTGCACTCTTTTTTTTTTTAATAAGTTTCGAAATATAATGTGGTCATTTTTATTTTTCAGAAAAGAAAGAGTACAAGAATAGGGCCAACTATAACAAGTAAGTGTAGGGGTTTCTTTTGAGAAACGTGTTTAGTTTGTGCTTTCATTAGGAACTCATTACCCTCTTAAAAACCAATATTATGGTGGGAAATTTACCGTACAAATATCATTTGTTTTTTCACCATGGAAAAAAATTAAAATAAAATTGTGCAAGCTATGGACTGATGGACTCAATTAATCATTGAATGCACGACATAGGCCATTTTGTCCGAAACATTTTCACGATTTGTGCAAGTATACAAACCACGATAATACTTCCTTCCTCTCAAAATAAATATCAAAATCATTTTCCGAATTAAAAATAAAATGTATAACTTGAAACAACGCAAATCAGTACAGTAATTTTTTGAGTGGAATTTTAGATTCGCAAACACAAAAAGATCTAATTATTTATTGAGATTAGGGAACAAAATAATTAAAAAAAAAAACACAGTAATTCAACAGGTTCATTTCCGCACCTACTTTTTCCAAGGCGGAGTAACATTAACAGCAACGATATGAGGTTTTAATTTGAAAAGAAAGGGATACAAATCATCAATTTAGCTTAATTACGATGATCACTTAATTAAATATATATAAGGTAACATCTCCAGAGCAAAGCATACTTCTCCAGTTTGAAAAGATTAAATTCTGGTCAAGATCGGATTAAGGGAAAATTATTTTAACTAAGCAACCCTTTGAGATTTGATACGGAATGAGATTAATCTCCTTTACTATTGTTACTAACTAATCAAGATCGTCCACAGTTAGTCAATTTTTTTATTTTTTATTTTATAGAAAAATTCAGGACGGTACCTGGTGAGAGGACCTTGATTTTATTAATTTAAAAATAAGAGTACAAGAGACAGTGTTTAAGACTTACCCAAACAAAAAAGAACCGTCTTACAAAAGTTTTTCTAAAAATTCCATGACGGTTCATATGCAAAATACTACTAAGTAACTGCCTTGCAAAAATATACTATAATCCCACGGTAGTACTGAATGAAAAAAAGAAAATCAAAGCTAAAAATTACCTTACAAAGACTTGACTACAAATCCCATGATAGTTCTCCATAATGAAAAAGAAAAATATGTTATCTATTACAATCCCTATTCTTTATTTGTATTATATTTTATGCGCAAATAGGGTGTGGATTATTGATCAAGCAACAACAATCCACGAGCATATCCAGGAAGCTGAGATTGATGTATATATAAGAAAGAGCTTCCTGATGAGGCAATGCGTGCCAAGAATCAGCTACCGCATTAATCTCATGAGTCCACAGTTAGTCAATTAACAAGGACGAATTTAAGAGAAAGAACATCGTGATGAGAATTAATTTGCATGATATCGTTCGTATCGAGAAACGAAGTATCCATCACAATATTCTATGTACTCCTTCATTCATGCATTAATTTAATACTCTCTCCGTCCTTATTATAAGTCATTTTGATTTTATCTTATATTTCACTTAAAATGTATTTTTAATTAAAAAAAAAAACCCTTAGAAACATATTTTCACGTTCTTTGTATTCTACTCTTTATTAAAAAATATTTTTCAAGTTTTTATTTCACTTAAAAAGACATCTTATGTGAGACTTAAAACAAATCAAAATGCCTTACAATAAGAAATGGAGGGAGTATTTGAAGAAAAATGAACTACCTTTGATGCTGTTGTAAACAATATCGTGGCCATGGGTACCTTGTAGAGCAAGGCAATAAATAATAATTAAAATAATTAATAATTTTTTTAATCGACTTGATCTTGCAAGTTAATTGGAAGACTACAGCATTACTTCTCTAAATTGATACTAGACTAAAATATGTAACTGTAACTGAATGATATACTTGTGAAAGAGACAAAAACCCTGATCAAAAGAAATGGACCAGAATTTGTTAATTCTATTTAACTAATGTTGTGAATCAAACTGCGACGTACTTTATGTTCTTGTATTGCAGGATTTCTAATTTTCAATATAAATTGAATATTTCAAAGATTTCTTGGAAAATGGTTGATGCACGTAAATTTGATAGACATTTTCCCTCACTGGACATTTGATGATCTCTAATTCTCTAGTAAGTAGTAACCATTCCCCAACTATCAAGAAAAGCATTGCATGCATGGCAACAGTGCAACTTTCGGGTGATTTTCCCTATCCTATTTGGTAAGCAAAAAACGTTTTTATTTTAATACTACTAAGTAAAAGAGTTTTATTCTAACGTTTGCTACTAACAATTACAAGACTCTTGTATATGGGAGTATTTAAACATAACTTGAGGCGGTGGGAAAAAAAATAAAAATTCTAAATCTCTCTATACAAAAATTCCAAAAAAAAAAAAAAAAAAATCTCTCTGCAAAAAGTTTATTCCAGACATAAGCTCAAGTTGCGTGATGGATAAGCTTCATGAAGTTCAATGACCTTCCCTCAGTCCAGATGGCCCTTAGATTTTATTGAAGAGATGCAGATTGTATGAGTACGTGGTTGGAAGTGAAAGAAGCAAAATTTGTATTTGTTGATCAGATTAAGTTGGCAGAATGGTTTGCATTCGATTCAAAGTCATGGCACTATATATATATTAAAAGAAATTAGTAAATTCTTCATTTTTAGGGTTTGAATTGAAAAAAAAAAAAAAAAACTCCGTGGCTGGTACTGTAAATACCATTTTTCAAATTGATGACTCATGTTAAAGCCATAAGTCCATTTACCAAGAACTTTTTTTTTTTTTTTTTTGAAAACCCATTTATCAAAAACTTCGATATAGCACTGGAGAAAGACAACACTTGGAAATATAATAAGCTTTAAAATTGGGTCGTCGCCAAGATTAAAATAAAAGTTAAAATCAAAAGTCACAATATCTCAAAACCAGATGTACCCAGAGACAACTACAAGTTTTGCCACAGATATGTATTTTATTTTAACAGAAATAATATTATAATGTCCGTTTGGTTAATTCTTTCCGGTGATTCTTCAATTTTACTATCAAAGCAACATGTTCTTTCTCTTAGCTTCGTAAGCATTCCCATTATTATTGCCTGGAGATCATTCGCCTAAGCCGTCAGCCACAGTCTCTCCCACCAATTAATCTCCTCTTGCTTCTCTTCAGGATCTATTCTAACGTTTCTTCGGTTTGTGCCTTTATTAATTCTTTCACGGATATTGGCTTGCTCAGGCATAGTAGATTAACTAGTTAATCCCTTCTATCCGAATTCTTCAAAATAAAAATACAAAGTAGAAAATCAGTAATCAATTCAGGCAAAAACTCGCTAATTCTTTTTCATTTGCAATGGATTTTGATTTCAGCATAGCTAAACAATTACCCTTAATCCATTGGTGGAAACATAAGATTAAGAAAGCAGGGGGAAAAAATGAATTTTTTCGTTACATATATACATTAACTTTGTAAAAAAAGTGAACTCGTCCTTACATCATGAATATTTCAAGGGAGGGCAAGCAAAACACTCCGTATAACTGTAATACAGTACTATTTAATATCTCATAGGTTAAAGAGATCTCATACGACATACGTTAAGTTTTCTTTTGAAGAAACCCTAAATGTAATACTCCCAACTACAAAGTATAAAAGTCTTGCTTCCTTAAATCAAATGACAGATTACACATATGTATTATCATTTTTTTTTGTTGTATACAGTACTTTATGTTTTACTTTACTGTAACTTTCAAATATATCTACTTAATATAAAGCGGCAATCCGTTTTTTTGGCACGGTTAAGTGCAAGTTCCAGGTTATTTTAGCTGACGTGGCATTTTTCCATTCGATCTCTCTTATTCCTTCTGCCGTTTCCCCCAAGCGGTGCCTCCGGTTGCCCGCAACAACATCAATTCTGCCGGCAGCACTCTATCGTTTCCGACGCCCTGCTCGCCGCCAATTCGAAGTCGCCGTCCAAGTCAACAGAAGAAGTCATCAGTCGCCGGCTTTATAACCTACCTCCATCATCGTTGTTCATCATCACCGCCGTTCGCTGCTCTTCTTCTGTTCCGCCTCCACCATCCTAAATCGCGGCCGGGTTGCTGCCGCTGCTGTCCGACGCCCCACGTGCTCGCTGCTGCCGCCGATTGTCCCCTGTTCGTCGTTTATTGCTGGGCGTTGCTAATCCGCAGTCGGTTCCCTCCAATTCCGGCGCTCTCTGCTTCTGCCGCCGTTCGTTGTTGCTGTTGACGACCACCATCATCAATAGGCGCCACCCTTTACTCTGTTGCTGCTCCGTGCTATTCAGCCATCATCATCGCTGTTGTTCCGGTGCTCAATAGTCGCCGATTGCTGCTGCTGTTCGGTTCGCCAATTTCATCACCGCTGGAACGTCGCTCCGTCAGTCCGCCTTTCCCCTGTTGCTGCCGCCGCCAGCAAGCCCAGAACCATCTTTAATCCCTGCATTGCTGCAATTCAAGAGCATCGTCGACTGCTGCGGTTGCTGAAATCCATCAAATTCCGGCGTCCTATTCATTGCCGTTGCTACTTAGCCGCTGTCGCTGGTTGCTGCTACTCAATCTCCCATTGCTTATTCCTGTTTGTGTGCACCACCACCATCAACCTGCTGCTTCAACTTTTGTTTCGCTGCCCGTCGACCTGAGAGCAAAATCATCACCAATTTAAATCTGTGATGTTTCCTTGACCTTCGACTCTCTAATTTACTTTATTGAT